CGCAAGGTGGGGCGCCCTCCTATGGACAGTGGCCCTGGCCGGTGATCAACGCAATTGTGCCATGGGGAAGCACGCTGCCAGTAGCCGGACCGTAGACGAGTATGCCACCACCCATCTACCCCGCGGCCCAGACCCAACCTGTGGCCCCGCCACCGTCACCTGATCCCAGTTCACAGGGCAGTGTTGTAGGAGGTGGGAACTCGGGGCACGGCAATCAAGGCAATGAAGGAAGGGGTGGAGGAAAGGGGCGAGGCAGGAATGGCGGCGGAAGAGGAAGGCAATGGAATGGGCAAGGCCAGGGGTACCAAGGCCAAGGGAGTCAAGGCCAGGGGTACCAAGGCCAAGGGAGTCAAGGCCAGGGGTACCAAGGCCAAGGGAGTCAAGGCCAGGGGTACCAAGGCCAAGGGAGTCAAGGTCAGGGGTGCCAAGGCCAAGGGAGTCAAGGCCAGGGGTACCAAGGCCAGGTCTATCAAGGCCGGGGGGATCACGGAAGTCAGGGGTATGGAAGACCCTGCTTTGACTGGAGGACGGCCATCTGTCAACATTGTGACCAACAGGGCCACACTATAAGGTTCTGAATATAAGACGGGAAGACGAGAGAAGCGGACTGATTTTCTCTACTATGGATGGGAATATCTACGATCAGTTTGGGGAGACCATTGACAGAAGGCTTGGAAGGGTGAGGGCTGAAGCCCAACGAAGAGCGGCAGCGGGGCCACCGCCCCCTGCCATGTTCAGGCTATGGCAGGAAAAGGGGGAACCACCGTTTGGGGTGGAAGAAGTGGGGAGCGATGAGGAAGTGACTCAAGGGCTGCGAGGAGGAAGTGAGACGGAAGAGGCCATAATCATCGAGTCAGATGACGAGGATGAGGAGGAAAGAACGAAGCCTTTGTCCGTCTTATTTGAGAAGATGAAGGACTTGCTGGATAAGATGGGGAGGTACCAACAAAAGTTGGTAGGCCTCTGTGAAGGAGTGAAAGGATGGAAGTCTAATGTCCCCACAGTATTCCTCTATGACTCCGGCCCAGAGTCAGCGCCTGGGCGACCCGGAGTAAATGTTGTGGGATTGTGCCCTCAACCAGGAATGAGGGGGAGACCCCTCATTCCGCAGGCCTGGCTGGCACAGACAGCGCGAACGAGGAATCAAGCCAAGGCCAGTACCAGCCAAGAGCCTCCAAGGGGGGAACACGAACCAGGGAGAAGGAAGGAGGTTGTGGAAGTAGAGGACGACGATAATGAAGAGGAAGAGGACGAGAGGCTGCGCAGAGAAGAGGATCAGAGAGCGGAGCAGCGGGCAAGGAAAAAGGGAACCAGGGGAGAGGTCGAACCGGTCATACATGACGGACTGCCCAAAAAGAAGAAATACGCGGTCCGGTTGGAAGAGGGATTTGACGTAGAGAAGGTGATTGACTGACTGCTGGAAGGGCATAATGACCTCATGGCCCTGAAGGAAATCCTAACGTCAGCCTCGCGACTCCGCGATGAGCTGAAGGGGAGGTTATCACGGCGCCTGGTGCCCAATGTCCATCTGGGTACGATCCTGCCCAAGGAGGCAGAGTGGGCAGAGTCAGGTACGAAGATGGACTGGAAGTGCGTAGCCTGTGGTACGGTGGATTTGATGGTGAAGGGTTCCAAGTGCGCAACAATGGTGGACACCGGGGTAGAGATGAACATTATTCGGGAGGTGGACGCGATCAGATTCGGGCTAGATATAGACCGTTCTGACTGCGGTATTCTGCATGGAGCCAGCTGTAAGGCCATGTTTTGCGGGACAACCTCGAATGTGCTCGTCGAGGTTGGAAAGGTGAAGGCCAGGTCATGCTTCTTCATAATGCCAGACGTGGACCATGGAATCCTCCTGGGGAGGTCATTCCTAAGCAGGACAGAAACCGTGATGTTTAACAAACATGATGGCACGTTGATCCTCCTCTTATGCGATCCTGCCTGCGGAAATTATGAAATAACTACTTGCAGGAACACCGGGCCAAGGAGTATAAGGAACCGGCCCAATCTAGGATCATTCACAATCGAGGAGTCGGAAGGGGAGCGCAGGAGGCTCTGGGCAGAGCCCGAAGCAGGAGAGGGGGTGGAAGCATTTTCCCTCAGCCTGTCAGATGTTGGGAAGGCCATGGACCTGGTGGCCGCGCATGAGATGGCAGATCCGGATGCCATCCAGGCCTTGAGGGAACAAGTTCTGGAATGCCCTGAGGCAGGAAGGTTGGAATTGGTATATCTGCTCCCAGGCAGTGGAGGGAACCCCGCATCAGCGCAAACACAATCTGTGAGTCGGCCTTTTTTAGGGGAGGGCTCAAGCAGGGTTCCCAAAGGCGGTACAAGACGGTAGACAAGAAGTGCCGCCCGGTACCCGTCGTCGTTACAGAGGACGAGGAAGCATATTACGAGAGGGAGCGAGGGTTGATTCGACGAATGAGGGAAAGTGCTTTAGCAGGGCCATGTCGTATCAACGAAGGGAACGAGAAATAGTTGATCATAGGGGAGTCTGATTTCCTGCTGCCTCAGGAGCGAACGCTGATGGTGGAATTAATGAAGAGGAAGCATCGCGCCTACGCGTTTAGTGACGAGGAGCGTGGCAGGCTGGATGTAGATAAGATACCTATGATCCACATCCACACCGTGCCACACGAGCCTTGGAACATGAGAGGGGCGCGRTATCCCAATCCTGACGAGGAAAGGAAGGTGGTGGATTATCTCGACGGCAAGATACGTACTCACGTCGTCGACTATTCAAGTGGACCGTATGCGTCCCCGTGGTTCTGCTTTATTAAGCCTAACGGGACGCTGCAGTGGGTGCAGGATTTGCAGAGATTGAATGCAGTGACCTTGCGAGATGCTGGAGGACTGCCGAATGCAGACGCGCTGTCGAAATCCTGTGCTGGAAAACCTATAATTTCGCTTATAGACCCTTACTTAGGATACGATCAGTTCCCAGTCTACCCGCCGGATAGGCCGGTGACAGCTATGCACACGCCGCGAGGATTAGTCCACATGAACGTGGCCCCACAAGGGTGGACCAACGCAGTAGCAATGGTCCAACGGGCTATGATTCAGGCCATGCAGTCAGTCAGCCCCCATATCACACAACCATACATTGACGATTTGGCAGTGAAGGGGCCGGCGACGAAAGAGAGCGACGAAGTCTCACCAGGGGTAAGGCGCTTTGTCTGGAAGCACATTCAAGACCTCGAAAAGGTCCTGAGCCTGTTCGAAGAGCATAACCTCACGGCAAGCGGGGCCAAATCCAGACATTGCATGAGGGAAGCGACTATCTTGGGGATAGTCTGCAATGAGAAGGGTCGAAGGTCGGATGTGAAGAAGACGGACAAGATTACTGAGTGGTCAGTTCCGTTCCACTCAATAACTGATGTCAAGAGCTTCCTTGGCACGTGTGGATTTTGGAGGGCCTTCGTCAAGAACTTTGCCGCTAAGACTGAACACCTGAGGAAGTTAGTCCGTTAGGATCAGGAATGGGTATGGGGTGAGGAACAAGAAGAGGTGGTAGCAAAAATGAAGGAGGAATTTCGAGAAGGAGGGTTGGTGTTAGGAGCGCCAGATTATGACGCCATAGAGACGCGACCCTTCATTGTCGAGACGGATCCGGGACCGACTGCCTTAGGGGGAATTCTAATACAGGCAGACATGGAAGGAAAGGAAAGGCCCTTGCGATTTGAGAGTCGGACTCTCAGTACGACAGAGAGGAACTACTCTCAGTTCAAGAGGGAGACCCTTGCTGTCCTCCACTGTCTGCGAATCTTTCGGAACTATGTCTTCGGTAGGAGATTTATTTTGAGAGTGGATCCGACCGCCCTGGCCTACTCTCTAAGGAATTACGTCCCATCGGATCCGACGATTGCCAGATGGCTGACGTAAATCTGGATGTTCAATTTCAAATTAGAACGGATTCCTGGTAGTAAGAATCGGGCAGACGGGTTGAGTCGGATCAACTGAGATAAGCAGGAAGGGGAGGCGGTGGAGAATACGCCCCCAGTTGATGGATTTCTGGATCAGGAAGAAGATGTTCGTCTCCATATCAATAAGTGGTCGCCGCGCGTGCCCAACTGTGTAGGCTATCCTATTTGGCAAGCGCCGAGCGGATATGAAAGGAGGACCGAGCTGGTCCTCAAACCCTTTAAAGAAGAGGATCCCGGGGGCGGCAAGGATGTTCAGTGGATGATGGAATTAGCGCTGACCAGCTCGCATAGCCTAGTGGAGGATATGAGGACGATTGAGGAAGGACATGGCCAGGTAGAACGACATGAGGACCTGATGGGAGGAATGTATCTCCTCGTCAATACGTTATTGCAGGAAAGCCTAGACCAGTCAGGCTTGTTGAACCCGAGAGGGAATGTGGACGAAATACCCGAGAGCCAGGACGACGAGTTCGAGGAAGGGGGAATTAAGGAAGCTTTTCGTGCAGAGGAGTACGGCGGGATCTACCTAGAGCTGGGGCTTCTTCTGTCATGTGAAATGCGGCTAAGAGATGCGAGCGATAGGGCTCAAAGGATGCTGCAACGCTACTTAGTGCGAGACGGTCACCTTTTCGTAAGAAGGGAAGTGGGGAATCCCAGGAGGGTCGTCTGCGGTAGGAATCGTCAGATCGACGCCGTAGCAACACTACACGATGGCATTGCAGGAAGGCATCGAGGGGTACAAGCCACGTATGCCAAGATAAGTGAGCTGTACTACTGGGATGGAATGATGGACATGGTCGAAAAATTCTGTCGATCTTGCGTACCCTGCCAGGAGAGATCCCGTTTAAGGCAGGGAGAGCCGCTGCATCCAAGGTTAGAGCGAGAGCTAGGGGCCGTAGTGCATCTCAATCTGCTTTTTATGCCACTTGGGGATCAGGGCTATAACTATATCTTCGATGCGCGCGATAACGTGTCTGGGTTCGTAGACGGGCGTGTTATTCGCACAAAGACCGGGTCAGTCCTGGTGAGCTGCATCGAGGAGTACTACCTGCATTATCCCTTCGTCAGGGAATTTGTAATGGACAGGGGATCAGAGTTTACTTGCCAGGAGGTGCAAGAACTGTTATCAAGGTGTGGTGTGGCAGCCAACTACACCACGGCCGCGCACCCCCAAGCAAATGCTCCCGTAGAGAGAGGACATAGTACCATTACGAATCTCCTGGCCAAATGGACCGAAGGTAGGCCTAATCAATGGCCAAGATACCTAAGGGCGGCTTTCTTTGTCGAGAACATTACAGTAAAGAGATCCACCAAGTACGCACCTGCGAYGCTGTGGTACGGAAGGCATGTCACCTTCCCTATCGAAAGCTTTCTTAAGACATGGAGGCGCCAAGATCTGGAAGTTAACCTGTCATTTGAAGAATTGCTCGATATTCGGGCGCGGCAGGTTGGGGCGATAAAAGAAAGGATTCAGGAGGCATCTAATAAGGTGGTGAGAAGCCGTATGAATGATAAGGCTCGATGGGATCAGTCCGCGCGAGTGAGAAAAGTACCCTTGGCAGTTGGGGATGTCGTGCTTCTCTACGATACATCGCTGGAGAAGCAGTGGTCCAGGAAGCTCGATAAGAGGTGGTTAGGTCCCTACCGAATCGCACGGGTCGGAGACTTCGGACCGTACCAGATCGAGGAGTTAAATGTGACTGAGTGGAAGGATTGGGTATCTGGAATGCGACTGAAGAAATTTGTGGCGAGAGAAGAGGTAAGAGAGATGACCTGACCGCCTTTAGAATAGAAATAACAGGGTGTGTAGGTTAGGAAGGATACATGCTGCATGAGTGTGGTCTGGTCTAAGCTTGCTCTGATTATCACCTGCTTGCTTACCCCAATATGTGTCTGTTGTCTCCTTCGCCTGTTGTGAAGGTCTGACTTTACGAAGACAGCCACGCCAAGAGGAGGGAAGGGGACACGGCCGCCTCAGAGGCCGTTGGGCGCATCAGAAGGATATGAGCGGCATGGGCCTCACCATCGAGAGAGTACTCCAGTCTACAATGATGGGGACATCGAGCTATTCCTGGACAGTTTCTGGGAGCATGCGAGGCGTATGGGACGGACCGTCGCTCAGGCGATTGAGAGATTGAGGGGAGCAGGTAGGTTCAAAGAGCCCATTACCAGGATTCGTAGGGAGGCGACGACGAGGCAGGAGGTGGAGATGAGGATGGAGGAGTTGCGATCCTCGTCTGTGGGACCTGATGGCAGGCCGATCCGCCTGGAGATTGGAAATGCGTCGGACTTCATCCCCGCGTTTGAGTGATTCATGCAAGAGCAGGGCATACTGAGAGATGATTGGATACAGACGCTGCCACTCTGGACCAGGAAGGCGGAAAGGCCACTGGCTATGCAGATCAGGGACATGGCACGAGATTGGGAGATCTGTAGGGCACATTTGAGAGAGGCCTTTCAACGGTCAGAGCTCCCTCAGCCCAGAGTCGAGAGGCGGCAGAGGAGTCAGAGGCCGAGGGACCCTGAGCCCAGGGAGGCGAGACCATCTCGAGGAGGACGAAAGGCCCTAGCCAAGAGAGAGCAGGAGCCAGAGGATGAGGAGCGAGGGGCATACCCTGAGTGTGGGTTGGGGCCAGTGGAGTTCCATCGTCTTACTGAGGGTGGATTGAGGAGGTCGCCAGCACACACACAGGGAGCCACCAGCGTCAGAGGGGCCCTTGAGGAAATTGGAAATGCATTTAGATATTTCTCAGTGGAGGGCGTCGCTTCAAGGTGAGGAGCATGGAGAGCAGGCAGAGGAGGTGTCACGAGAGGAGGTGCCACGAGAGGAGGTGCCACAGGGGAGATACCACGAGAAGAGATGCCACGGAAGGAGGTATCACAGAAAGAGGTCCAGGATACTCAGCGAGAGAGAGGGCTGGGCGATGAGGGGAGACGTGCAGGGAAGGAAGTGATAGAAGTTGGAGAGGACACGCCCCCACAGACGCCAGCAGTGGGTTTGAGACTCGGGGGTGCACCAGGGAGCACCGGGCAGGCAAAGGAGGGGTCGCAGAGAGAGGAGACCCCTTTACCTTCGTCAGAAAAGGCTCCTTCCCCAGAAGGGAGGGCAGGAAGGAGGAGAGAGAGGACAACTGTAAGGAGAGAAGCTTTGATCTTGATTGATAGGCACCTAGCAGCTCATGCCCTGGAGCACCCAGACCGGGAGGAGCCAACACCTGCAGAGCCACACCAGGAGTCATGCCATCTCCTCAGCACAGGAAGAGGAAGTTCAAGAGAAAGGTAGATCAACTATGTTTTTACTGCAAAAAGGACGTGCATCTGACTTTGGACTGTCTCGAGTTTCTTGAGGATAAGGCAGCAGGGAAGATCTCAGAGGTAGGGGGTAAAATGTATGATAGACAGGGTAGGATAGTAGAGAAGTCCGCAGATGGACTTAGGGCTCAGTTATATAGGCAAAACCAGGAGGAGTTGAGGAGGTAGGACCAGTTTTGCCTATATAAGTGAGCGAGCATTTTGTGAGGCATCAACTTAGGTTCTGAGTAATACCCTCTCAGACTTAGAAGACATTTTGATGATTGCTGTTAGTCTAGATCT